TTACATTTGCAAGTGATATCAAGGCGAAGGGGGAACTGGAATCAAAGGAGGCAGCAAAGGTCCAAAAAGAGAGCTTGTTAGGGTATTCATATGGGACAACTGGCAAATTTAGTTTAATACTGATTCTACATTATAGAATCCATAAATAGGAAACACAAGTCCTCCATGTATGGGATTGAACTTGCCAAGGAGGCAACTGAAAAAGATAATAATAATAATCCTTGCATTTGATATAGCGCTTTTCACGTCTTCTAGATGTCTCAAAGCGCTTCACAGAATATGCCGTAAAGTGAATTGAGCGTATATTTGTGGGCAAAACGCGGCAGCCAATTGCACACAGCAGTGCCCCACAAACAGTTGTGGATCGAAAATGACCAATTTTTTTTTTTGGAGGAATTATTATTAGGCGTGTGGAGTAAGGAAACTTGCTCAAGGTTTTGATCTAGGGGGTACTAGTTGACTCGTCGCTCTCTATGTCAAAACAATGTGAGGCAGCAATAAACAAGGCAAACAAGATGTGGCTATATTTCTAAATCAGTGAAGTTTAGTTCCCAGATTTCATTCTTAGGCTGTACAGTGCTCTGGTCGATCTACACCTTGAACGCTACATAGAGTTCTGGTCAGAGGAGGTGCAGAGGAGAGCAATGAGGATGTTGCCCAATGTCAGAGGAATGAGCTATGAGCAATGATGAGACAAGCCAGGGATCTTCAGTCTTGAGAGAAGGGGGCTCAGAAGGAACCTCATAGAGGTGTACAAAAAATGTAAATGGGATTGTAAAGATAAACCCAGATCAATACTTTAGGATGTACCATGACAGTAGACCAAGAGGACGTAGATTTAGAGTTGTGTGGGGCAACTTCAGGATAGATACCAGGAAGATTTTCTTTATGCAGAGGGTAATCAATGACTGGAACAGGTTGCCAGGAAAGGCAGTAGAGGCCACAACACTGGACTCATTTAAAAAGCAGCTTGATGCAGTGATGGGGGGGACGGTGGGGTTGAGTGATCTGGCGGGATGAGATCAGATGGCCTGAAAGGTCTTTTTCATCCAGACTGATCTTGTGAACCTTAGCACAGTAAATCTTATGTACATACAAGCAATTATTGTGGATGCCACCTCCCTACCCCTATGTGTGTTCAGTTGTGTTCAGTGGCTTTGGTCTGGCTTCATACTCCTCCCTGGTCTTCCTAGCTCCACTATTCACAAAATTCAACTCATCTAAAACACATCCGGACACATCTTCACCTACAGCAAACTCTGGATGTCCATCACCCTAGTCCTTGCCAGGCCCCACTGGCTCCCTGTCTCTCAGTGGATCGATTTCAAGATCTTCACCCTCATCTACAAACCCTTTCGTGCTCCAGCACCTCCCTATCTCTCTGATCTCCTACCCCACCCCTCTGCTTGCTCCCTTGGATTAGCTCACGAGTTGCTGCATGTCCCCCACTCTACCTGCAACACTGTTTCTATATGTGAAGTAGGTGGAGAGTAGGCAAGCTAGTTGACCTTAGAGGGCATTGCACTCAAACCTGATACTGTGCAACAGATGTCCACCCTTGTGCACATTTGTATCACAGGTTCATAAAGAGTGAGCGGGATGAGCAAGACTACCTGCCACTCTTTCACCCAATACTGAGAACAAATATGGGGCCAGCTCTGTGAAGGGGGCAACTTTACAAGAAAGTGGTGTCTTGATACAGATCTGCTTGCTTGAACTGCCATCCAGGTTTGACCTCTCCAGAAGTCCTATAGTACAGCACAATGGTAGTGATGGAATCTGAGTTCAGTTTCTCCCATTAAATTGAGTTCCTGATCTCAGGAAAATGAGACTGGGAATTAGGTTAATGCCTTGGATTTTCTGGCATCTCGCACATTATTGCAATTTTATTTGGAATTAAGATGTTTTCTTTTGTTTCTGTATACAATCCTGATATTCTTCGCATTTCTTAAAAGAATAAGATAAAACATAGTCAGTTTTATAAATTCTGTATGAAAGCTAGGAATTTTAAAGCTGTTTTAAAGGTGAAAGCCCATTTGTAATCCATGTTAGAAACAATATAAAGCAATTTGTCTTAATTTTTGTGTCATTTACTTGGGTGTAATTTGATTTTCGGGATATTACGACTGCATCAATTTGGTTGTAATTTTTGTTGTAGTTTTTTAAGAAAATACTTACGTAGCTCATTTTAACATTAGTTTGAAGAGTAATAGATTTTATTTTAGATTACTTGTTTTCTCTCAAGTGTTTCCCAACTTTGTGTCAGCAATTTTTTTTTGTCAGGATCGGTTGTCCTTCACACTGTTTACAGCTGTATGATTTTGCACAAGTGGTTTCTATAGCTACTGTACAGCAGCAGATGTAGAACAGTGAAAAGCTGTGATAAGAAAGACAGCCTTTTTAAACAAAAAAACAGACATGGGCAATTACCCTGAAGCTGAACTGAGGCCCATCTGAGCAAATGTAGGATTTGAAGCTTTCAAAAGTGTAAGAGGACGCAGCATTACCTGATACATTTTTTCCTGTTTACAATGTAATTGTAGCATATGTAATAATAGATAAGATATTGCAGTTGGTAGACCAAGTGTTTAGTGCTAAGAGGTTTATTATCAAGGATTAGTACATGTTCCAGAAGTGGATTTCCAGTGCAACTTTCCTTCAGTTGTATTGCGCTTTTAAATATTATTTGTTTCTGAATGTTTAGAGATATCAAACACTTTTCTTGGAAGCAGCTGCTGGCTAATGCTTTTTTTGTAGATGACTGGAAATGAGATGACAGCAAAAGACCTCGGCAAACTATAATCTTATCTGTAGTAGGCCTGAAAGTATGAATGTAATAATGGTAGCACAAACCGCAGGAGGTCAAGAAGGATGCTGTTTGACCTCTAATATGTGATGAAGATAAATCAAATTAAGGATTACAGAATATGTCCAAATAAATGTATTTTTGTTTCAAGTACTGTATAAGGTCCCAAACCACTTGGGCCTTGTTTCTATCGCGTAGAATTCCTTATCAAAGCATAGTATGTTTTTTTTATATTTAGATACCTATCCAAGGAAACATTTTTTGATAATTTGCCTTCATCTGCATGGTAATACAATGCAGTCAACCATTGGTGAAGGTCACATAAATTGTGCTACTATCTCTAGAAGAGGATTTTAAATGCTCTGTTTCCATTAAATTGCTGAATGACGTCTTGAATGGTTTGTGTTACTAAGATTTGCAATCTGGCTGTCCATTTTAAGTTTCCTGGTCTAAGCATAACCTTTTTGAGTTGTGCTTTTTAATTGGGATTCAACTTTGTACATACCAGGAAGATAAAACAGGAAGTAAATGAAGTAGTTGTATCTGTGGTATAAACTTTGTTGCAGTGAAACTAATTAGCTCTACTGAACCTGATTTGTGTCAGTTATCCAATTTATTATTTAATGAACTGTTTGGAGTCCTGTAGCTCAATGCTTAGAGAACTTGCTTTGCAAGCGAGAGACCTGGGTTCAATTCCAGGCAGGGCGAAACCTTGGGCAAGTTTCTTTACTCCACACGCCTTATAATAATCCCTCCAAAACCAAAAACAATAATAAATTGGTCATTTTCAATCTACAACTGTTTGTGGGACATTGCTGTGCGCAATTGACTGCCGCATTCGCCCACAAATATACAGTCAATTCACTTTACAGTATATTCTGTGAAGCGCTTTGGGACGTCCTCCCGACATGAAAAGCGCTATATCAAATGCAAGGATTATTATAATGTGGTATGAATTGTGACAGAAAATATTTTTTTTGTGTCCTTAACAACTGTCCTTATGACATATTTAGGGATGAGATGTTTAAATCCCCCGCCCCCCCCACCGAATTCTGGAGAATGCTTTCTCCCTCCAAGAATTTGAATAATAATAAATACTAATAAGTATTAGTCAACTAGATGCCATCTGCCACTCTGCCATCAACCTCTGGGATTCCATCCCACAGTCCCTCCGCTTTGCCTCCTTCAAGACCCATCTCAAGACCCTCCTCATCGACCGTGCTTTCGATCACCCAGCTTCCCCCCTGCCCTCCACCCCCACCTCCCCAATCCCGACCCCCACTCGGATCCGAAACTCTGACTGTCCAACGCCTTGGGACATCCTCCCGACGTGAGAGGCGCAATACAAATGTAATTTTGTTGTTGTTGTTGTTGTTGTCTGTCCATATGTGAAGTTTCTTTTCCCTGTGGATGACCTTGAATGTAAATGTAGTGAATACTGACATCTAAAATTTTCAACTGGTTTTGGATAGATTAAAATTGATAGCCTTTTTTACTTCACAATCTGTTAAAACCTGTAAGACATTCATATTTCGTATTAATTTGTTAGAAGCGCACTATAAAGTATTTGCTGGTTCCGTCTTGCTCTCTCAGTTAAATGGAAGTGATTTATGTGCTTTATTTGTAAATGTACTGTACTCTGTGTGGTGTCTATTGGATCCATATCCCTGGCAGCTGCATTGATAATAGATATCCAATATTTTGTGGGATCAAATCAGAAATTTTAATATATCCAAATGTTGGAATGCTTTGGTTTCCTAGATTCTACAGTAATATTTTTACTAAGTGATACCATCGTTAAAAACTCTATCATTCTCAATGAAGAGAGTAAAGTTGAGGGAGATGGGGAAAAAACCTGGGACTAAGGACGCGACTTTGGTTAGGCACTCATGTGGAATATAGACACCAGTTGGATTGGATGGGCTGAATGGCCTGTTTCTGAGCTGTCCCTTCTATGAATGAAAGATGATCGTGTTTCCATCCATCTGTTTCAATCCACTTTTCTATTGATCTTCTGATATGCTCAGTAATGTCCTGTGTCTGATAACAAAGATGTGAAATAAATATAATTTGCCAAAAAAATCATGTATTAACAGAAGCAGGTGATTCTACAGGCCATCGTTTCCACAGGATAGTGTAGTTTACAGTTGATTAGTGTCTTTTTCTACAATGTAATCTCTGCTTTGCTCCACAGGTTAAGGATCAATATGCTCATCTTACTGATACCAGGTACAGCCCCTACACAGGCCACAATTCATTCCGGGACAAATTCTTCAGTGGTGTTGTAAAGAAGATTTCTAAAGAAAATGAAAATTTCCAGAACTGAATGTTTAGAGCACATCAGACTTTTAACTCAATGAGCTTGCACACACATTTGTCCGTTGTTAAATTTAGAATTCTTAAATGTAATTTGAGAGATGGAGGTTTTTAAATTTAAGTTGAGTGATAGCAGAGATTAATGTGAAATTTGTTTTGTATTCTACATCCAATAGAATATGCATGAGCCAATCAAAGAATAAATGTCTTTTTATATCCAGAAATATAAGTGTTGGAAACGGTTTGCTTTAAGGAGAGATCATAAGGGCACAGAAATAACCTTATCCAGTTTGGATTAAACAGTATTTTACATGGAGAACAATATACTATTTGAGTACAATGGACTTGCACTGAATTGTACAGTTTGTTGGAAGAGAGAAGAAAAAGAACCAAACCTGAAATGAAGTCTTTTGAATTTCCTCAGTTCAGCATTACAATTAAAATGTAAATATTGCAGCAGGCGTACTGAACACTTTTAAATTACTTGTGCATGTAAAACATATGGTGTCCTCGTGTCAGCTTGGCTCGGCAATTTGTTGTTCTTGGCTCAGTTGGTAGAACTCTTGCCTCTGAGTCAGAAGATTGTAGGTTTAAGCCCCACTTCAGGACTTAGAACCCATATAGTTTAAGCTCATGCTCCAGTGAAGTATTGGGGGTGTGCTGCATTGTTGGAGGAGCCATCCTTCGGATGAAACGCTAAACCAAGGTCCTGCTTTTGATATTCAAAATCCCTTGGCGCTATCTGAAAGAGAAAAGTTTTTTTGGTCAGCAAGGTGTCTTGACACATGGGAAAGCCTACCACCATCCGAAAATAGAAGGAAGCTTCTTCTGATGTCCTGACCAACATCTCCCAAATAAAATTGGTCACTCATTGTTCGTGGCAAATTAGCTGCTGTGCTCATCCATGAAATACACACAGTCGCATCATTTTACAGTATATCCTCTGAAGTACATTAAGACATCTTGACCACTTGATAAGGTGTTCGATCAAATGCAAAAACTACTATTATATAACAATATGTAACAGAAGTTTCTTTTTGTTTGCATTTCTCCGCTTACTGAGGTATGGTTCCAGTCACCCTCCTGTACCTCAGCCAAGTGTTCACTATTCATGTATGAACCTAGACAGTGAGGGTCTGTAGGCTATTTCACAGGCATCACAATTGAATCCAGAACTGCACTTATCTGATGTCAACACAAGTACACTTTACAGAAAGGTGGTGGGGTGGGAGGGATTACTATAATAATAATAATCCTTGCATTTGATATAGCGCCTTATCACATCTTCAAGACATCTCAAAAAGCTTCATAGAATATACTGTAAAGTGATGCGACTGATTGTATATTTTGTGGGCGAAACTGGATGAAGATCTGGAGCAGGAACCGTTTAACACTAACTACTGCTCCAGCTGAGATCAGCAAAAAATAGAGCATTAACGGATTCAAATGTGTGACCTTCCAGTTTGCATGGCTTTGAGCTACTAATCGGTAATCTTTATTTACTTATCCATTGGAGCTGCAACACTAAGTTTTTATTAGCTTATGTATCCACAGGTGTCTTCTTTATCTTGATCATCCACAAAATGGCAAATCTCTGGAACTCTACAATGTTAAAATGTCCAATTTCTCAAAATTCATTTATTTATTTTGCCCAAATACCAGTGTAAGTTGGTCCGTTCGCCTGTTTTTCAATATCTAATGATTGCCACATCTTTTAGAATCAGTTCAATCCCACCCCCTGTTTACATCTAATCTTCTAACATTTAATTTCTATTTTATTCAAAAGTCTATTCTTGAATTTCCCTTTCCCTATCAAATTTCCCTCTTACGATAAAAACATGTCCCAAAGTAGGTCTTTGACTGTGGATTTTGGTCAACACAATCAATCTCCCATCTTTTCCTTCCTGCTCCCTGCTTCCCAGCTTTGTTGTGAAGAGTTTTGAGATATTTGTTGTATTTATTATATATGTTTATATATATATACATATGATGACAGCTTTATTCTGAGGAGGTGTCCTTTTTAAAAATTCTATTGGTTAGTAGGTCCACACAATTGCCCTGAAATTGTGTGTGAAGGATCAAGCTATTTAATTCAGTGTATTTATTTCTGGCTTCATTTATTCACAACCTAATACCTCATGAATCTGATCTTTGGACCCGAATCAGTTGTTATTTAAATATATTCTAATTATAACGAGCATAAAACCCTGCACTCTTCAACTTTAAAGATTATTTTTAAATTCTTTGCCAAAGCGATGAACTGTTCCACATGCTTCTTGAAGCTTCTATTTTAGTGTTCCTTTAGAAATTACTGAACCTCTTCTCATCTGTTTCATGATTTAACATTATAAAAAAAATCTGAAAACATTCCACAAGTCTCTTTCCAACCTAATAATGTCTTCTTAAAGTAATCTTTTATCTCTGGTTTTCTTGCTCCTTCGCCATTTTAAATTCCTTTTATATGCAAGGACTTATTTAAGAAACAGCTTGAAGCTGAAATGGGAACAAGTGGACATAATTTTTGGAAGTTTGAAATATAATGGATCAAATAGCCTTCTTCATCTATTCCCCTCTTGTAAAGTACTAATCCAATCTTCTGTGAAGGACTTTACTGGTCTTAATAATAATATATAAATAATATTAGATTTTTCTGGTAATGCAATTTTGTATTTGATACAACACTTATATCAAGTAATAAAACATCTCAAAATGCTTTGCAGGATTTGCTGTAAAGTATAGTGACAGGGTATTTTATAGACCCACACGGCAGCCAATTTGTGCATGGGAATGTACCGCAAACAGCCATTAAGTGAATGCCCATTTTCTATCTGGAGGATTATTAGCCAGGACACTGGGAGAAACTCCCATTCTCTTTTTGAATAGTTCCATAAGAACTATTCAATTCATCAGGTGCAGCAAATTGAACAATGTAGTGAGGATATCACTACAAATTCTGTTCCTTAAAAATATTTTTTTCTTGCTTTACCTTTCCGAGTGCCATTTTCAGATCTTTTTCTCCTCTATGTTGGCTATATTTGTGCTGCACCAATGAGTGAATAAAAACTTGGTTGCTATTGAATTGAATTCTAGCCCATTCGCTCAAAATATGATTTTCTATTTAAGTACAGTTTGATTTCCAGCTGCTGAACATTAAGGAAAACAGAGATTTGTGATCCTGCCTTAAAAATCAACATGAACTACAGGATGACCTTGCCTCTATTAATGCAACTTTGCAGTACATGAATTTTGACGGAACATCCACAAAAGAAACCTGAATTATTAGAAGGTAAATCTCTCTGTGGCTAAGACCAAAGTCAATTCAGTCTTTCTCTTCCAAAGCTGCACCTGAAAGGTTTCTAAGAAAAGACACTGAAGAAAGAAACAAATTTGCTAAGTAATCTTGGTAAAAATGCTTCTTAATGAATTTGATGTGTTGTGAAATCTGCTAAGAACGTGTTTTTCTATCTTATTAAAGATAGATAAATCCACTCCCACTGACTTTGATACAATGATTGGGATTAAGGCTGGTCCAACCTTTCAATGCTACTGTCTCAGCTTCAATTGCTATTGCCGACAGTCAAGCTCAATTTTGAGATCAGCTGATATCCCATGAAACAGCTCTCAAACAGTGTGCTTCTTGATCAACAATGACAGTGATGACATTTGAGCCGAGCCTTTGTGCTCAAGTCACAGGGCAAGGGGGGAGGCGGGGGAACACATGTTTTTAATAATATATAGAAAAAAAGTTTTCTTTAAAAAAATTCAATAATATTTTTGAAAATGTTCATGGGTTCGGAAACAACAACAACAAAGTTACATTTGTATGGCACCTTTCACGTCAGGCGGACGTCCCAAGGCGCTGAACAATCTGTTTTGGACCCGAGCTGAGGATCGGGATCGGGGCGGGTGAAAGGCAGGAGGGATGGAGGGTGATCAAAAGCACCATTGAAGAGGAGAGTCTTGAGATGGGTCTTGAAGGAGGCAAGGGAGGGGGCGAGGCGGAGGGACTGCGGGATGGAGTTCCAGAGGGTGGGAGCAGAGTGTCTGAAGGCCACTGATGGGACGGGCAAGGTGAGGGACATGAAGCAGGCTGGAGCCCACTGAGTGGAGGGAGTGAGCAGGTTGGTAAGGGGTTAGGAGGTCGCAGAGGTAGGGAGGGAGCAAGACCATGGAGGGCTTTGAAGGTTAGAACCAGGATCTTGAACTGTATGCTCTGTGTGATGGGAAGCCAGTGCAGTCGGGCAAGGATTGGGGTGATACGGTCACGGAGCCTGGTGCAGGAGAGGACACTGGCTGCAGAGTTCTGGATGATCTGCAGCCGATGGAGGGAGGAGTTGGGGCAGCCAACAAGCAGGGAGTTTGCGTAGTCGAGACTGAATGTTATGAATGCATGTATGAGGGTTTCGGCAGCCTGTGGTGTGAGACAGTGGCAGAGCCAAGTGATGTTGCGGCAGTGGGGGACGGGGAAGCGGGTCATGGCATGGATGTGGGGAATGAAAGACAATTGAGAGTCGAACAGGATGCCGAGGTTCTGTATTGGCTCCGTGAGATGTAGAGTGCATCCATGGAGGGAGATGCTGTCATCTCCCGAAGTATGGAAGCGCTGATTGGAGCCAAGCAGGAGGGCCTCGGTCTTGTTGACATTGAACTGCAAGAAGTTGGCTCTCATCCAGAACGTGATATCTGACAGGCAGTCAGTGAGGACAGCAGTGGTCCTGGAATTGAGAGTGGAGGCAGAAAGATAGAGTTGAGAGTTATCCGCATAAATGTGGGTTGACCCCATGTCTGCGGATTATGTCACCAAGAGGGAGTATATAGATATTGAAAAGGAGAGGGCCAAGGCCAGAGCCCTGAGGAACGTCACATGTGACCATGTGGGGCTGGAGGAAAAGCCGTTAGTGGCAACAAAATGGAGACAGTGGGAGAGGTAGGATTCAAACCAGGCAGGGGCAGGTCCGCGAAGATTGAGCTGAGAGGGGAGGCGGGTTAGGAGGATGGAATGGTTGGCAGTGTCAAAGGAGGCAGAGAAGTTGAGGAGGACAAGGAGGCAGTGAGAGCCCTTGTTGTAGATGTTTAGAATATCGATAGTGACATTGGCACAGCGGCATGGAAAGCCGATTGGATAACATCTTTTTTTTAAGGGGGTGGGAGCAGTGTCAGTGGATTAGGAGAGGTTGATGATGTTGGCTAAAAGAGGGACCAGCAGGTGAAGCTGGGAGGTGAG